GGCCGCCGGAAAACAAGGAAACATCTGGAGTTCACTTTTTCTAAAAAAGCTCTTTCTTTTCACTCGAGAACTAGCATACATGCGGATAAATAAATCTTCTAACACTTGAAATGGTTATACTGTTGAAAATCAAGAGGACAGACTTTTTTCAACGAGACAGTATTCCAATTTTGGTGTCACGCACAGTGAAAATTCGGAAGTTCAAATTGCTGTATTTTCGAAATGAAACATGTTAAGGAAATGGAAACTTGTAAAAGATTTACTTTTTGTTTATCTTTAACCTAGTGTATATAAGAATTCGTAAAACCGCGCTATTTTAACTTTGCAATTTGATGACGTCACTGTGAAAACCATCTATAGTCAATAAAATTACGTTTTTAAATTGGAAATTTATGTATTTGTAAATATTCCATCCTAGACGTTTTATACATTTTGAGATCGGCCTGAGCGCCCTCATTTGAGATTTGTGTTGAATAATTTTTGCCACGTGCTCAGCCGATCTTACTTGCTCATTGAACGGATCCACGAGCCAAGTTTGTGTTGCGCGAATTGCTTTTTTTTTAAGGATTAATTTGTGGGTTTTAAAATAAACATTTTTCGCGAAATAATTTCTCTGTCTGTTGTTGTGTGTTCTTTCATTGATAACATTAGGTGAAAACACGATCCTGACACAACCGCATCCAAGTTGAATTTAATGCTTTTCACTTTGATCCACGCATCACGTCTGTGAATGTCGGCGAATTTTATAGGATTTTTGCTTTTAAGTTCAGTTTTTGGGCACTTTTTCGATACGCAGCTAATGAATTTTATTTGAAAGTATGCCGGTTTTTCTGATTATTCAAGATTTGTGCGCTGTAAGTTTACTACTGGCAGAGAGTCACTAAAGTATTGTTTTTACTTTGGAAATTGGCGGTCGTTTAAATGGGCTAAGAGCTGCAAACTCCGATAGCCCAGTTGGAATGATGAGATGAAAGGAGCGGGACTATGAACAGCATTCTGATGACTTTTCATAGCCGGTCGGCAAAAGTCGATACCGCAAATGTCCACACGGATTTTTAAAAAACCATCATTTCCTGCTATTTACAACACTATCGAGAACTTCTTGAATTACAAAAAAAGAACGCGCGCATCCGCATTCTGTTTTTGTCTTGGCGTTTTCCGCCCGTTAGCCTCAGATACGTCACCGAAGTAAATTGACCGAGAGGGACTGGAAAAACGCCGTACAGGGACTAGACAAGGGAAACACCACGCATGCATTACCCCGCATCACCACCCATGCATTACCGCGCGAGTAAAGAGAGCTTACAACCTTGACGATTGCCTAGCACAGTGCTCGGCTGTCGACTGTTTCATAAATGCACAGCAAAACATCAAACGTTACTGGGATTCACAAGATGTTTTATAAACACACACTGTTCGTACGCTAGCTAGGTAGGGAAGGAAAAGATAGACTTATAACTTATTTAATAAAGAATGGGACATGGTAGAACTGTATAAGAGGTCCCTATATATGAGAGCGCGCAAAATCCACGACTTCATCAAGTTATCTGAAGGGTTCTTGAGGGCGGTTGATAGACTGCTTGCAATCCGCCTTTTCTCTTAAAATCCGTCTAGTTCTCCGCTAGCGCGATTGCAAACCACGACGTTATGTTACAATAACGGATTAGGACCAGACGAGAAAAGACGGACTGCGGACTCTTTTGTTGCAAATAAACTCTCCGACAGCCCAGAAACGGAGTGGCGATTGGTCAGTTTTACAGCTGTTGACAGATCATTAGCAGCATTGGGGGGCACTTGGGTAACCATTGTTCTAGCAGCCTTCTGATTGGTGGAGAGGGGTAATCGAAAGGAAATCGGAAATATCTTAAAACGAGGCTCGAGTCATGGTCGGAAGGCGTCGGGTATTATCGGAGGTACTCGGCAAGCGTCGGAAATCATCGGAAGGGATGACATCATAAAGCATAAAGAGGACATTTGAGTTGTTATTATACAATAGTCAAACGTGAACTTATATGTGTAAACGAAGAAGTCAAGTCAGACATGTGGTAGAGAAAAAGGGTCCCCTGCGCAGGGCGCAGGCGCAAAGCACAACGCATGCGCAGTACCAAAACTAGAAAAAAGGATGTAAACAAGGGAGAATCGAACTTACAACCTTGGGATGTTGGAAAAGAGGGAAGTCCCTACTAACGTTAACACCATCTGCTAGAGCGTTCCGAACTTAAAGAAAGAAGAAAAAATAAATAAGTCTTTCAGACATTGATAAACGATCAACGTCGAAAAAAGAGGCCCGATCGGGATTCGAACCCGAGCTTTCTGTGCCACAAACAGACGTACTAACCACTATACAATCGAGACCACCACAAAGAATGAGAGTAAAAATATCACACTTTATTGAAAAACAACGTCTCGGCTGGGAATTGAACCCAGATGTTCTGCGTGACAGGCAGAGATACTAACCATTATACTACCGAGATCAACTTACAGAATCGGTGTAAAAATGTGAAACTTTATACAGAAATGTTGAGACTACGTTTAAAAGTATCGTGAAGTTCTAATAAAGCGTCTGGAAAATCGTAAATGTTTCTGATCCCCACAATGGCCGTTTTGGGTAGAAAGGTGGGTAAAGCAAACTGTTCTTCAGACATCTGATCACAGGCGTAGAATAGATCTTGATCGTGTCTGTACCAAAACCACATGTTGCGTTGCACATCGTACACGTACAGGATTTTCTTGAGAAGTTTGGACATTTCCACTGCCCAACCGGTACCTCCAAAGCATAAGTTACTTTCAGGTTGAAAGCTTGTAAAAGCCAGTACCATTTCGGCTTGTTTCACCACATGATAATTTCGGTGAATGTATTGTAAGCTGATGGGATTGCTCAAAGGTTTGTTCAATCGAGCAGACACTTGCTTCGTGATCGGAATGGCTTCTCCCAACTGTGAATGAGTTAATGGAGACAGGTATTTGCTTCTTGGGTGACAAGGTGGAATGAATATCTGTACAGGTAAACCAAAGTCTCTGGCAAAGCGTTCTGCTTCTAAATCGACTCCGTTAGCACCACCACTAATAATCGTAAAAGGTTTCGCGTCCGACATCTTGCTTCATGGAATGAAAGAATCACATTGTCAAAGGGAAATATAAACAGATCAAACAATGATGCCTTGACGTCAATGTCCAGAGAATGAACAATGCAATGACGTCATTGCCCGGACATGTTCAATTCCCAAAGGACTTGAGGCTTTTAGTCACTCCTTCATTTTATAATCAACATCAGGTGTTCGATGCAAGAATTTAAAAAAGGCGGTCGTTTCTTTGTTCAGTTGATTAAAAATCTCTTTGTTCAAAGCATAGAGATTGTAATTCAACTCGTCAAAGGTAAACTCTGTATTAGCCAAGGCCTCAATGAGCAAAGCGCGAATAAACTCTTTGTAGTTGGAAAAGTTTCCAGGGTCTAGTTTTTTCAACAACGTGTCCATCTTAGTGCACGGTGTCGTAGCCATGTCGTTCTTCCAAGTCTTTGACAGTGACTTTGAGTCTCGTCAATTCCTCCTGGGCAGATTGAAGTTGCTGCTTTAACGTCTTGATTTTCTGAACTAAACTAGCGCAAAAAATCACGGCTTCTCCCACAAGAGCAAACCACTCGTTGTCAGTCATCACTGATGGTGAGTCAACAACATCACTTGCTTATATCGACAGTTCACGCTTCACTGACTCGTCCAACATAATGTATTTCCTTTGGGACTCTTCTAACTTCTTTTTGAAAAACAGGGTAAACAATGTCACTCGGTTGAGTCATGGTGGTCAAATGAAATTTTATTACACATCACACTTTTATCGCCAATTTTCGCATACATTCGGGTAATTCATCCTCATAAGAAAAATCCCATCTAGGGTCTGTTATTTCTCTTTCAAAAATGTACTGCACTATTTTACATTTGCCATCGCAATTGTCTGGCACCCAATCTAATCCTAACCCCTTGGCAAAAGCATCATCTTTTTCTTGAATGCAATAGTCACATAGAATCCATTCCAACAATTCGTCACAACGCTTTTGCCACAAAACACGCTGAGCATTGACTTCTTGGACCGAGGGTTGAACGTGCAAGGTTTTGCGTAACCACCAACTGAGCTTACACACCAGGACGCGGGCACAATAATCATACCAAACAGGACGCTTGCCATCACTGTGATTTCTACACCAATGTATAAAATCGCTAGGTGACATGACATTCGTGGTACCTATAGGCAGGTCATGGATCTCGTTTAAACCGATGGGAAGGTCCACAGTAGGGATATCCATGGCTCGAAATAGCTCTTTCAGCGGTGGAGTAACATCTAGCAAACCTACAGCGGGGCAATCGGAGGGACAATGAGTCTTGTACCATTGTTTGACATCGGCAGCAACCAAATTCTGATCTCGTCCAGATGTGTCGTCAAAGGTTAGTCCATGATCGTACTTGCTCATCAATACTCATTTGGGTCTCATTGGAAAAAGCAGACAAGTCATGTCCAGGAGAATAAGACAACAAAAGATGATGATATCCATCTCGACTACATAAACCAATTTCTCGATAGAGAAAAAACCCATCGGTGATTTTAAAACCGTGACAGAAAGCAACAACTCCAATAGTCTCCATACTTGGAGAGTGAACGAAGTCTCTGGGTAGAGTCATGCTAATTAAAAGGAACGCGAACGTGACTAGATGCACGTCATCCACCCAAGCGTAAACAAGGTATTGACGTCATGGTTTAGACTTGCCCGCTCCCCAGGGAGGGATTGACGTCATGACCCAATGCCCTTAGGACCCAAATGCTCAATAAAGTAATGTGTTCAAGTGAAAAAAGTCATTATGTGCAAATTTCAAGAACCGACCGTTCAGCAATTGCAACGAAGCAGAATGTCGGAACTTCAGAATACCATGAACGCTATATTTGGTTCCCCTGATGAGGAGCCCATAACTCGTCCTGACGACACCAAGATGGCGAAGTTGGAAAAACGAATGATTCAACCTCAAGTACTAATTCAAGGAAGCAACAAACGTGCCAAAGGCAAGAAAACCAAGAAAACAGTGAAGCCTAAAGAAGTGATCGAGGATCCACCGTATGCTGGAGATGAACTGCGAGTCATTCCTCCTCAGCCCACATTGCCCACCAACCTTCTCATGCCTGGTCCGTCATTAGCAGGAAACATAGAAGAGTATCCTAGACCGTCTCTCCCAAGCTATGAAGAGATGATGCTAGATGACATGTTCAATGGTCCAAGCTCTATGGAAACACAACCTGACCTAGCGCCTGTGAAAGTGTTGGAAGAGGGAGTAGCAGTGACCCAAGATGATCGAACCGTGGAATGGTGGCCTGTGGAGGAACCAGAGCAACTGGCTAACATGTTGGAGTATTTGGAAGATGAAAACAAACCACTGCATACCAACTTTGTCCTTCCTAACCAAGGACTAGCCCTGTGTTCTGCCTGCCCGGTCTTTTTTGGAAGTATGCAGAACAAGCAGATTGTAGCGGAAGCCTTGTGTAACGAGATACACTGCAAAATACTCAATCAGTGGGGAACCCTTAGCTGTCGTTGTGGATTAGTGCCAAAATTGCAGTTGAGTCAAACACCCAGAAACATGCACAAAGTCTTCCTAGGCTGTCCCAAACCTCGAGAAGCAAGATGTGGGTATTTTCAGTGGATCCATGAGCCCCCCAAAACCCAACTATGTACCCAAGACAGCCACCCGAAAAGCCCTAAAGAAACGACTGGCGGACATGGTCAGTGACAGGATGAGCTTGGAGAAAAAGCAGAAAACCGAGGGAGGATTTCAATTTCCTTAAACTGATGTAAAACGTGTGATTGTATTAAAGTTGTTTTTGCTACGTGAGTGCATGTTGTTTGTCATGTTTTACCCTTTCCCTGGGGAGGTCCATTGACGTCATGACCCAGACTTGCCCGCTCCCTAGGGAGGGATTGACGTCATAGGGGTTTTGTTAAATACACGGCATGTGTTGAACCATGATCAGTTATCATCATGAACTTCCACGGGAATGAACCATTAACCACCGAGTTTCTCCTAGTATTTGGGGATCAAGAGAAACCCTGTCCTTCGTATTATGGAAAAGACGAAGATAAGAAAAAAGTCAAAATGGTCCTTCAACAAGAGATTCATCCTGAAGTCCATGCCAAATGGGGTAATCTAATGTGTCATTGCCAATTGATTCCCAAGATGCGGTTAAGTAAAACTGCCAAAAATCTCAACAAAGTATTTCTCACCTGTGGTGGTTCCACTCAAGACGCTCGCTGCAAGTTTTTTCAGTGGATCCACACCCCGTTGTTTCGACAAAAACAAACAGACAAGAAACCAAATCCTGTCAAGACCTGGTTGCAACAGGCAGAGCAAAATATAGAGAACTGGAAAAAGCAACAAACCGATCATTCCTGGTTCAATCAGTTTGCGGAATCCGCCAATCAACAAGAGCAGGAGCGGCAGACCAAACAAAGTGTAAATCCTTGGAAGGCAAGTACGCTTTTTGCTAGCCCTGAGATTGCCAAAGCCTACACAAAAACCGAGGGATGCAAAGAGGTCCAAGTCAAAAAAAGTGTCAATCCTTATAAGATACCCCTGCCAAGTACCTTTCATTGGAGTCCCGAGATAGCGGAGGTAATCAAGAAACGAGACCAATGGGATGACATCAATGCCATGGCCAACAACGAGTTTCAAACCTCTGTGTCGAAGACCTTTGGAAGCCTACCTCCTAGTGATGCCAGTTTAGCGTCCTATTTGCAAAAGAGGAAAAATCAAGGCAAAAGCCTATCCCCTGCAGATGAAAAGTATTTGCAAGCCTGTCATCAGCAGTGCAAACCCGTCACAGGATTTTGGCCTCAAAACGAAAAAGCCATTGCTGAGTTTGTGAAGGGACCCTGGCCCTTTGTTGACTTGCCGGAAAAAGTGTGCAGTTTGGCGTCGTATTGCCGTAAACGAAAACAACAAGGGTTACCGTTAACCCCAGCCCAAGAACGTTTTTTTCAACATTTAGTAGATTTGCACCAAAAAGACCTCAGCGAAGGTCCTACTATAAGATGTGTTAATTTTTAAGAATAAAACACCCTTTAAACTCTTCATATTGTTGTTTGTTCGTTTGTTAGGGTTAGGGTTAGGGTTAAAATGCTAATGAGGTTAGGGTTAAACCCTAGTCCCTTGGGATTAGGGTTAAGGTTAGGGTGTTCGTTTGTTAGGGTTAGGGTTAGGGTTAGGGTTAAAATGCTAATGAGGTTAGGGTTAAGGTTAGGGATATATTATTGTATGAGGGTATTCTTGTCCCAGAACCCCCATTATCCTCTACTACCATGGGGTTAGGGTTTGGGTTATAAAGCCACACGTTTTACCCTACAGCGTTCATTGTTAGTTCATCATGACAGCTAGGCGCTTGTTAGAAATGACCCAGGCTTGGCATGATTGTGAAGCGGAATTGAAACAACTCCGAGCCCTTTTACAGGTCCGAGATAAACAAATTGAAGACATGAAAGGGGAAATAGCTGCATTACAAACAGATAATGCTCAACTGCGGTACGAGTTGCTCTGTCCAAGTGTCAACGATATCTTGATTCAAAACAACCCGGTGATACCATTTTGACCATACCATGTCCTTCATGTATTGGAACGGAAGGGTATGCCAAAAACTTTTTTGAAGTATAAAGCACAGCCACCTCCTCATAGATATCATTGTTCACCATGAACACCTTAGAGTATAGATGCACTATGTGGATTTGTCAAAAACTAGCCCAAGACAGGCCCATTCCAGAAAAGCGCTGTGCACCTATTGCCTTATTTGAGTATATGATGGACACCCATCGTAATTGGGGTCGTTACGCTATTTACATGACATGGTTGCATCGCCATTTTCCCACTCAGGGGTCTTGGATTTTTCACTATTTAAAGACACACTATTCGTCAAGGACATATTCATTGTCCTATTTGTTAGCACAGTGGTTCATGTATCATGGCGCAAAAACTGTCGAACGCATATGTCGATCCTTCCCAACCTGGCTCGTTAGGAGGTGTGACTAAATTTGCCAAAGCCCATGGACTCACTCAATCCAAAGCCCGTCAAGTCTTAGAAACTTTGTTGAGTTACACGTTACACAAGCCCCGACGTCGCCATTTTCCTACCTTACCCGTCATGGTCTTTAAAGTCGATCAACAGTGGGTGATGGATCTGATGGACGTCCAGAAATTAGCCAAATGGAATAAAGGGCACCGGTACATTTTAACCGTGGTGGATGTCCTGTCCAAATATGCCTGGGCCATTCCCATCAAAAACAAAACAGGTGCGGTGATGGTGCAAGCGTTACAGACGTTATGGAAACAAGCTAGCCCCAGACAACCTCAACGGGTGCAATCAGACGACGGGACAGAGTTCATGAACGCTAAGGTGCAAGCCTTTTTTAAAAAACACCAAGTAGACCATTTTTCCACCCAAGGGGATACAAAAGCCGCTTTAGCGGAAGTGTTGATTAAAACGTTAAAAACCAAACTGTATCGCTATTTTACTGCTGCCAATACCCTCACCTACTTGAAAGCCCTTCCCCTCATCGTGGAGCAATACAATCACACCGTTCATTCCAGTATTCAAGAAAAACCTGCTCATGTGACCCCGGACAATGAATATTTGATTTGGAATCGATTGTATAGAAAACGGTTACGCAAACGGGCTCGTCCTAAACTGCGTGTGGGAGATAAAGTACGCTTAAACAAAAAACATCGAGTGTTTCAAAAAGGGTATTTGCCTGGTTGGACAGAAGAAGTCTTTTTAGTCCATGGGATTTCAACCATCATCCCTGTTGTTACCTACACCCTCACAGAATGGAATGGTACACCTATAAAAGGCACATTTTATGAAGCAGATGTTCAAAGGGTTTTACTCCCCGATGAGGCATTATTTCGGGTGGAAAAAGTGTTAAAACGAAAAGGAAATCAAGTGTTTGTTGCGTGGAAAGGGTGGCCCAAACAGTATAACAGTTGGATTTGGAAAAAAGACGTGCAAGTACTATGAATGAATTTCGTATCACTCTCATCAGTGATCCCACTGATGAATTTCCCAACAATAAAAACAACAATTTTAAAGTCCGTTTACCCACCATATTGAATTTACCGGGAGACACTTGGCAAGCGAGTTTATGGAGTGTCTCCGTGGCTGACGAGGGACATAGTCCCACCGTTCTTTCCTCTAATCAGGATATAGGGTTCATCAAATATCGTTATACATTCACCCAACGTCACCAAGCAGCGGATAATTCATGGTTGGTGGACTTTAAAGCCAAAGACAAAGAGGTGACCTTAAAGGACGTGATGGGAAAAGATTTTCCGGTCACCTCAGGTATCCAATTGTGGCATAATATTATCACCCACATGGATCAAACCATGATGAAAGATGTGACGACCACCTCAGTTGCTTGGAAAACAGTCAACAATGAAGCAGCCACTGTATCCTTGAAATCCACTTGGAAACCCACGTTTGAATGGAAACAAGACACGCTGGTTTTAAAAGCCGTCCCTCCTCAAGACGTCTATGCTCGCGATGCGGCCAATAAAGTGCAAGCCTTATCAACCGTTGGGTTTCATGTCGACTTTGCTCAAAAGTTTGGCCTCCTTACCAAAGACAAGAACGACAAGTATCAATTAGGACCCAATTTAGACTATGCATTACCCACCAATACCTACAATGATACCACACTTCCTACGAGAACCAATCAAAGGTATCAGTGGTTAGGAGAACACTTTGTGGGGATTAAACCACACGATTTAATGGGAGGGAATGAGTTATTCAAAGTCAAGACCGAGGAAGGAAAGCAGTATATGTATCTCACCCGCTACGTCGATTGGCAATTTCTAAACTTAAATGCCTTGTTTAATACACATGTGGGAACCATCAAACAAACAGTGATGTTGTATTGCGATGTAGTCGAATAGACCATCGTGGGGACCCAAAAACATTCGTTGTTGAGAAAAGTGGAATTGGAACGTCGGGGTCAGGGCCGAGCGACGGTAGAACCCCTTCATCGCGAATGGATTCGACTGCGTAGCAAACGAGTGGAAATCATTGAAGTGTCCCTCGCTACACCTCGTGGATCCTTGTTGGTTCTACCTACAGGCAAAACACTCGTGACCCTAGGGTTTCGACGAGTATAAAAGAATCCTCTCCTCTCTGATGACACAGTCTTTCATCATGTTGGGTGGGTCACTCACACGATATCATACCCCCACTCTGAAAGGAAAAGGGTTTTCACAAGAGTTGGTCAAATTAGCTGGACCCACATTGCTTCGATCCATTGGACATGGCCTTGACGCGTATGAAAAAGGGGCGTCTGCTGCAGAGGCCGTTAAAAGCTCAAGCCAAGTGTTAAAACGAGGTCATTACAAGCCGCAGGCTCGATTTTCGGGGGATTGCGACGTTCAGCGTCGCAATCTTCGCATATTTCTGAAGGGCGAGGCGCCAAGTCTATTGTTTTGAACCAAGGGTTATATTACATCAAAAGACCCTGAGCCTATCTTAAAGCTGTCAACAATGTTCGTTTTATTGAGCAATCTTTCATCTTCGACACTTAATCCAGTTTATCTTAAGTGGACACCCAACCTAGTTGCTATTCACGTGCACTGTCGAAAGCATAATATCAAATAGACTTCAAAAATTCTGCATTGGAGCTTCACTCTTCGTCTTTAATTTTAGCCGACCCACTCAATAAACAATAAATAAGCACAATATTACCGAAAAATAATTACAACTGAGAACTTGATGAATAAACAATGAAAACAACAACTCAATTATCTCTCAGGGAGATCACCGCCAAAGCGGATACCCGCGAGGTTTGTTCGGTTTCATCATAGACGGAAGAAATTTTTACAACCCTAGTATAAATCTGGCCTAATTGTCACTTGATCGAAGAGAGATATTTACGCAAAAAAAAACTATCACAGTTCACAAATGATTTAGACATTATCTTAATATTTTACTTTAAACTGTCGAAATTAAAGTATTGCCGCCCGCGGACAAAACTAGCTTTTTTCCGGTTTCCGGTGTACATCAAACACAGGCATCACGCTGAATATTATCCAGACTGAGAGCCGTAGATCAGAAAAAAAATCACAATGACTAAATTTCGCTTTTGAAACCAACACCAATCGTCGTAAGATTGGGCGCATCGCATAAGAGCTAAAGACTTAAGAGGGAGAGAAAATAAAAATCTACTGAATTATATACACTAACAAAAACAAAATATGAACAAAAACTTATTGTGTAGTGATCGAGGATATACACAATACCAAAGGCAAGTAAATATTTTCCTCTGTTTTCCTCAGTGTTGTCAAACCGGCTTCACCGATGTGCTCGAACTCCGCATGCGAGAGCCATAACAAGCTGCTCCTCTACCTTTTTAAATAATAAAGGTCTCTCTTACCTTATATCGGCGAACACAGTTTCTGTCCTTCGGACATAATGCGAAATAACATCCAGAACTCTTCACGTTGAACTTTTGAAACCATTTCGGCGACAATATGTAACTTACCAGGTAACGTACCGAATAATTATTACTTTGGAGGGTTCGAATTCGACCTTCATAAAGCGCTAGATTTTGCCTTTCGCTTAAGAAACGAAAAAAATATTTCTTTTTTTCCAAGACTTGCACCAAGACCCTTTTTTAACACCAACCATGAATTTAAGTATTTTCATTAAGTGATTTTGACGAGAACCATAGCTGAGTTAAAATTTCTCGCTCCGATGGTATAAATTCGGCGCGCAGAAGACAAGCTCTGATATTTGACGCAAATTTGTGTCCTGTCCTAAAATGAGTTTATTGACAGATGAACTGACAGAAAGCGATTAATGTGAACACCTGAGGTGCGCAAGGAAATGTGTCAAGACTAACGCCTTGTAGTTACTTGAGTCCAGTTTGTGGGTATCTCCATGGAAATTAAGGATCCCTGGTGCGCCTATCACCACAAAGCCTACATAGAAACAATGTTGAATTACAGTCGTGAAGAAGGAAAAACCACCCTGGCTGCTCAAGGATGGGTCAATGAACTGAATGTGCGTGCTTCATTAACCCCTACCAATGCTGGTAGTAATGATAAGCCCAATCCCAGTGACTGGGATGGAAAAACAGGGCTCAAGGCCTTGACCCGCCGTTTGCTTGGCAAAACGTATCATACCTTTATGATCAAACCTCATGTGGCCGTCTTCAGAACAGGCAAATGTCTTGTGCCAGGAGTTCAAATTGATCTAGAACTCTATTTGAACGACAGTAACCTGTTTCTCTTTGGAACGCCAGACACGACCACCTCCGTAGGCAAAAAGATTCCCACCCTAGAAGACAATGACATCTTTGTCACTCTCTGGATGAAAAAAGTCACTCTCAATGCCTCCGTGTATACCAGACTGCAGAAAGAACGTAGCCTTAGTAAAACCAAGAAAGTACAATATCCTGTGGTTCGCAGTGAAATCAGAACCTATTCGTTTGATGGCAATAGCACCCGTTGGGAACAAGACAATGTTTTCGTGAACAAAATTCCTGGGAAGGTCATTATAGGATTAATGAATTCCACCAATTACCATGGAAGTCTGCAACACTACCCCTTTGCCTATCAAAAGTTTGGGGTGACCCGAGTCCGACAGACGATTGACGGCGAAGAGTACCCGTACAGATCCCTGGAACTCACAGGCAATACCAAAGCAGAAGATTTGGTAGGGTATGACCGATTCCTTACTGCCTCTGGGGCCTACAAAGATCATAAAATACCTATAATGCGGCCAGGGGATTGGGGACAAGGCAAAAATTGCACCCTGTTCATGTTCAACAATGTTCCAGGTGATGCAGATGACCCTGAGTACAGAAATCCCAGACTCACAGGCAATGTCCGCTATGAAATTGACTTCCGGGCAGCTGTGGGTCACAACATTACCGTGGTGATCTGGAGCCAGTATGAAAATATCTATGAAATAGACCAGTGGGGCGGAATTCTTTATTCTGTCAACAGCTAAGATGGAGTTCGTAGCTCTGAGTGATACGGTCCTGAACCTCTTAGCCAGACAAGATCCTGACTTGAACAAAGTGTTTCGAGGGGTGTTTCCAGCGGACAAGTTACCGACCGTTCCCAAAACGAAAGTCTTGAGTGATGCTTACATTGTCAACACAGACCCCGAAGGTCAACCTGGGGAACATTGGTTAGCTTTTTGGACGCGAAACCGAGTGTGTGAAGTCTTTGATAGTTATGGTTTGCCCTTATCCACTTACAAGAACCCACAGTTACAAGCTTGGTTCAAGCAATGGAAAGAAGTCATTACCAGTGATCATACCCTGCAAGCCATGGACAGTCAAACCTGTGGACATTATGCGCTCTTGTTTTTAAAAGCCAAAGCCAGGAATGAATCCTTTCAAGATTTTTTAGCGCAATGGAACTCGCAAAATTTAGTATTAAATGATCGTCGTGCGGGTGAAAAGATTCAACGTCTAATTAAGACACAACTGTCTAGAAAAGAATTAAGCTGTAAACAATCCAATGTAAGCCGTTGCGCCTTTTGCTATTTTTATGATTTACAATAAATACGTGTACTCAACTCTGTGTCTTTCATTCTTGACCATGTTAACCCGTGGGGATGAGCAAAACGCCATAGAGGGATTGGCTTTTACGCAAGCCCATATCTATTTGTTGTATCAATGGTACTGTCATTGTCATTGGCCCTTGGGTACTTTACAAGACTGGGTGGAGATTATGACCCTTGCCAGATCTCATCAATGGTCTGCATTAAACACCTTTCTGTTGGACAAACCAGTCCTTAAAAAGGTGGTGTTTACTACCCTAGCCTTAGTCTCTCCCAGACTGTATCGTGTGTACTTTCAGCATGATTACACGTCAGGATTCCCGTCAAGTCTATGAGGCCTTTACCAAAGCCAAGGTACTGTATATGAGTCAACATCCCTAGGAGAATTTTGACCAAGACCAATGGGATGGGTCTCATCGGTTCAGTTGGCTCAACAACAAGCTTGGGAGGCCATGAAACACTATATTGAATGGATGGACGAAACCTATTTAAGAGAACACATGCAATTGATTGTTCAATTAGCTTCTCCGCGTTTGTATCATACACTATGGGGCGAAAACGACGCACTGTGAGGCGAACACGAGGCCAAAGTCAAAAAGGGGGCGCCCGATTTAAAAGAAAACCCCGTCTAGTCGATAAAATTGCCGAAGGCGTAGCCATGGGTTTATCGGGACCCTCTCCCAGTTTTGCTAAAATGGGTGCTTTTTTAGCCAAGCAAGCTTTCAAGGGTATAAAAGACAACGTCCGTCATTATCAGAGAGGCAAAGGACTTGGCACCGTCTTATCCACAGCCGCCAAAATTGGGTATAAATTGGGCAAGGACAAAGGCTATAAACGTATGGGTGCAGTGGGAGCGACTGGCCATTACACTCACTTTCGTAAACCGTGGGAAACATGATCCTTCAACCTGCTAGTGTAACTATTGCCGGCCCGTCTCGGTCTGGCAAGAGTGAATTGGTCGAAAACCTCTTGAAAGAGAAAAAACTGTTTTATCCCCCTCCCCAAAAGATGGTTTACTGTTACGATCGATGGCAAAAACGTTTTGATCGCATGAAAAAACACTCCAATGTTCACTTTTACAAAGGTCTTCCTCCTGAAGGAGCGTTAGTCAAATGGTTTAAACCTGAACATCATGGGATTCTCATTCTCGACGATCTGATGGAGGAATCGGGCAATGATAAACGCGTGTTGGATTTATTTACCAAAGATTCTCATCATCGTGGTATTACCGCCTTGTATCTAACCCAAGATCTCTTTCCTCCCGGCAAATTTGCCAAAACCATCAACCGCAACGCGCATTATGCTATTTGCTTCAAAAGTCCTCGGGACAAGACGGGCATCCGTAACTTGTTGCTGCAAGTGTATCCAGACAAATGGCGACGAGTGCTTCAATTATTTTTGAGGTTGACGGCTCGCCCCTTTGGTTATTTTATGTTGGATTTACATCCAGCCTCCGACGATCGTTTTCGCGTATGGAGTCATTTAACCCAACGTGAGGGGAAACCTCAGGTCCATACGTTTGACGAAGATATAAAAGGCGATTCATTCACGAGCGATTCATTAACCATGGCCAAAGGACGACAACGACGGAGAGGGTTGGCAAAAAAGCGCAAACCTGGGGTGGGAAGCCAACGTGGAGGGATAGCTCCCTTCCTAGCAGCAGCTATTCCTGCCTTAGTGGCTGGAGGGAAAGCGGCAGCCATGGGTGGACTCGGCGCTGCGGCCAATTATGGGACCATGAAAGCTTTACATGCCTTATCCAAACAGAAGTATAAAAGGAAACACAGACCCCAAAGGAGGACTAAAGCACGATGACGGGACGTATGACAAGACAAGGAGCCTTTTTAAAAGATGTCCTAAAGGAAGCCAACCAAAATAAACGTCAACAAAAACTTCGCTATGCCAATGCAGATCAAATTAATGCCGTGAGTGAATTAGTCATGAATACCTTGCGTGGGGTGATTCGTCCTGGCAGAAAAACTGTGCCCAAATTAAAACCCTACAGCAAACAGCTTCGTCTGATTGCAAGTCCCCGTCAGAGTATAAAAAGAAGACGTCACCTCATGATTCATCAATTAGGTGCAGGTGTTTGGAGTGAGTTAAAACGTTGCTATCATTGTGCTAAGACCCACTACCGCTATTAAGATGAAACAAGTCCTGTTCCAGCGACTGCTATGTGTGCTAGAAGGGTTGATGACGTTGGTCACCCTGTTGAAAAACCTTCACCAACGCATGAAAGAAAAACATCCCAAGAGGTGGGGGTCCAAAAACGTATAAGTATGCCCCTGGGACTTTGATGTTCATTCATTGCTGACCATGGACGGTATCAGTAGCACGCCCGTGGAAAACTCTGTTCAATTTTTACGGCTAAGGGATAAATACAAGTCAGACCTCTTAGATGATAGTCGTCTGACTAAAGCAGCGGGTTTAGCGGCCCAACAAGAACTGTTGCTAGAAAGTCCTGCCCCCGATTCCTGGAAAGAACCCCGTTTGAAATCCGTGAACCGACAGTTACGACATTGGACCACGAAAATTCGTCAGCCTGGGGGTGTACGCGCTATAGGGCGTGACGATGACGACCCGTATGATGACGATGCCAATAATTTAGCGGTGGGTACCGTGCAACAATTTATGAGTAACATTGCTAAAATCCAAAAGGGTATAAAAAGGAAAGCCACGACCCCTAACGTACCACAAACAGCCGTGACACCGGCTATTAAACAGTCGCCCAGGACGCCGGAAAGCAGAAAAAAACCCAAGTTTTCCTTTAAAACTGGATCGAAAGGAAAGCGTTTGTTACCGAAGACACCTAAAAGGAAAAAGTCTGCTCCGTCTACCCTCAAGACTCCTGAAAAGTCTTTGGAAGAATTAGCCACAGAATTACCCTTTTCAGACCAGTTAGGCGAATCGCCTTGGAAAACACCGGGTGAATTAGCCAGAGACAGTCTCAGAGCCATAAGAAGACGTACACGCAAATCCCAGAGTGAGGAACGAAAAAAAGAAGGTTTAAAACAAACTGTGCTGAAAAAGGCCGCCGAAAAAGCTTTGAAACAGTTAGCCCCAGCCCCTGACTGGAAACCCTTTGGTACTCCGACTAGACGCAAACTCGATGGCAAAGACTGGTAAGAGAAAACGTTCAAGACCCCGTAGAAGGAGACAGCGAGGGGGAAAATTTGATTTTCAAAAAGCCATTGAGAAAACAGGCATCGAGTTCCATTTGCCCGGCTATAATTATGCTGGCCCTGGCACGAAACTGGCCAAACGTTTGAAACGCGGAGATAAAGGCATCAACAGGTTAGACGACATTGCTTTACATCATGACATTGCCTATAGCAAAGCCAAGAATTTGCAGGATAAATGGAAAGCGGATGACGTCATGATCAAAGCCATTGATCGTTTACCCGGGAAAAAGACCATGACCGAGAAAGTCGTCAAGAAAATCATGCAAGCCAAGAGAAAACTCAAATTGTAATCTGCGTGTGTTTTTTTTTTATTATTATTTCAATAAACAAAGAGTGTGCACACAACGTCTCTGTCTCGTGTTAACCTTCTCTAAAATGTGACATGACAACATATTGACTGTCGGACTGAAAGTTTACCAGGGTTTGAGGGAATTGAAAAAATCCACCCCATCGCGAATTTGAATAAGGACATTTTGGGTAATATTGCAATCGAGACTTTCCATCCTGATCCAGGTAAATACAGGCTGGGGGATAGTTTGACTTTAAAAATGATTGGCTTCATTATTCGCATAGTCACTGGTGACATCGCTCAACAGGATTAAAGACACGTCCGTCATGGTGAGACTTCAAGCTTCGTCCCTCATTCCCTCCCTCTATTTATACCCTGACCCAACAACAATAACATCACACAGCGATTGTATCTCGAACTTAGTTTATTTTTACATTAAACCTCCCTATCGAGTTCATGTTACAACACTTCGACAATGGCGCCCAAAAACAAAAGCCAAACACACTTAGCCTATGTACAATGCTTCAAAAAGAAAACCTCTATTTATAGCTCTGATAGCATGTCGACCTCGCTTTGAATGCGAGCGTATCCATACGGATAGGACTTACGAGTGGCCCTATCGACAACTCGTTTATCGAACACTAACCCATACTTTTTCTCCCTTTCAATCAATCGAATTCTCTTGTTGGCTTGGTCACGGTCAAAGAAATTCTTATCGACCAACGTGATATTTCTCCTTTCCTCTTGAGGGTCATCCAACTCTTTTAAAATGTTATCACGTAAAGCATAAAAATTTAAAAGCAACTTATTTCTGTAGTTCAGAGAAAACCCTCTGACTTTACATTCCACTTTCCCTCCCCTGGTTTCATACCCATAATTTTTCGCCCCTCCACTCGCAAATTCTATGATGGGATCTCCGTCAGTTTCGTCAGTAAAATCTCCTAAAAAAACACCTAGGGGAATTTCTACCTGCCCAGGACGCCATTTGTAAATAACAGAATCCGTGTCATAATAAAGGACACGTTCCTGAAGCGTTTCTAAGGCTGAGTAAAGTTTAAGCCTCGCATGCGCGGTGGTGTAAATTGCTATAAATATATTGGTTTTCACATTTTGTTCTACTTCTTCTTCTGCCCTTGTGGTGACGACCTCTAAAACATCCTCCGAGCAGATTCGGATGTTACTGATATGGAAGGCAGGGTCATTCAGCAGAGCATAGAGGGCATGGGCACTTCTGATGACGTGAGTCTGTGGCTTGTTGCTTCTTTCTCCGAATTTGCCCCAGAAGCTAGAAAAATGGAGAGACAACGAGAAAAACAGCAACAACAAAAAACAAATCAATGGGGGTTCTTAACTTGCAGACTTTGTCTGCATTTTACGTGGTTAACATGCAGACTTTGTCTGCAACTTATCCATACATTTCCTTCTAATTTTTAGGTCAAAGAGTGTTTGTACTTTCTTTCAACACGGTGTTTCTTAAATGCAGACTTTTCCTGCCACTAACAAGGTTAAAATGCAGACTTCTACTGCATGTTATTGTAAACATAAACAAATACTCACGAGTTGAGCATCATTTTGGCCACTTGTTTCCTTCCCGGGTTTTTGGCGACGTTTTCAAGGGTGATCCCTTCCCGCTCCTGGTACCGTCTGATGTAATTCTGCTTGTCTTCTGGGGTGTGACAGTCATCTGGCCAGCCCGCTGACTCTTGCTTGATCTTAAGCCAAGTGTTGACATAGTCGGCGAACAGACCTGTTCGTCGATCTTGTTCTTGAAAATGCCACACTTCGTGGATCTTTAAAACACGGTAACCCAGTTCCACAGCTTTTTGGATTTCGATGGTGGCCCATGTACCACGCAGCATTCTTTCGTTATCAGTATGGGCACACATGTTCGTTCTGTCCAGCCATGGTTTTTGCTGCTGTTCTTGCACACAGGCAGCACACAATGGAAAGGTCAATTTACCCCCTGCTCGATAGGGTAACACCGGGTGGTAGAGAAACTGAGGCGGAAGAATGTCGATTTTCGCGATGCCAAAATAATGAGCAATGTCCTGATCTGATGGTGATGTATAAATGATAGGAAATCTGACAGGGTATTCTTTGTATTTGTTCACAAATGGGTAAAGAGACGTGACGTCAGCATATTTAATGAGATCTGGCAAGGCAGCTTTGCAATGGAGAGACACCGCCCCTGTCCGTCCCCCATAAAAAGCATCTCTTAGGTTGATGGGTTCGACCATTTCCAATTCGTTCAAAAAGGCTTGCAATTCCACATTTGTTTTCTTTTCTTGTTTGAAATGACATTCCCATTCTTCTATGACTGTATAACCCGCTTCTCTCAACATGGCGGCTTTTTTTAAGGTGGCTTGATAGACTTCTTCCACGGTGCGATCGCGATGGCAATTTCTTCTTACATTTCGTTCTTTCTTAAAACAACGCGGACAGCCATGAAAATAGCAGCCGTAAAATTCCAATACGGTATTGGTCTGTTGGTCAAACCCGTCCACATAATAACATTGAGCAGGGGTCAACACCTGGACCTAGCCACCATTCCGCACGTGGCGGACACGCCCCATTCCTCCACGCTGGAAGTCCTGCCAGTACAACCATTCCAGGGCAATGCTGCTTTGATTTATATGGTTACCATGCCATCCGCCTGCAGGTTCCAAAGCAATTAAATCTTCTTCCAACTTTTCTTTTCTCCAGAAATGGTTGCAGGCGGAGGCAATGGTAATAGACGTGATGAGGGGATTAAACCCGGCGATTTCTTCAAATTCTTGGATAAATTTTAAACTTCCTTCCTTGAGCAATTGGACATCCGATTTGCAATAGGTCAACAGTTCCTCTTGGAAATTAAAGATTGCATTTGAGGCTACTTTTTCATTGTACCACGTTTTAAAGGCATCTCGTTTCTTGCTATCGAAGCTATCAGGATCATAAGCATCCATGGGTGGGTACTCGCCAACGTAATGGAAATTTTCTTGACGATTAAAAGCATGAGGAAAATAACCTTTATGTAACTCGGTTAAATGAAATGTGGCTAGAAAGCGTTCCAAAGGCATAGCGAAGAAATTTAATGAATCTTTAAACACCAGATCGCCTGTTTCAAAGTATAGGATTTTGGCACCTTGGGTCAGCGGTCTCTCCACGGCGCGTCCTTGATCGTACAATGTTTCTAAAATGAAGTTCCCGTCAAACCCACGGAGATTATGGAAAAATGTGATCACTTTGCGCTCCCGTTCGTCGTCTTCTACATGTGTAAGATCTTCTAAAGCCTCCAGGAAGTCGGTCATGGACTCAGTATGATGGATTTCGTCTTCATCTTCGGCGGACCAGCAAATTAAATTAGGGGTAAAGACTCGGTCTGCGTCTAAACTACATTCAATGTCTGCAAAGACTAGCAGGGGTTTGGGGGGCGGTCCTTTATTGTCATTGTTTTCATTGTCGCCCTCTGCAAGGGATTCTTCTAACAGGTCTTCTTCTTCTTCTTCTTCTACTTCTAAGGTTTGTTGTTGCTGTTTCTCTTCTCGGATGGGCTGGATATAACATCGATGGTTCACATGCTGAAACTCTCCACAGTTTCTACACACCACATGGAAGCATTTATGCGGTTTTTTGGGGTTTACAGTGTACCCCGCGCAACATAGGTGGCAGGTTTTCCACGTTTCGCAGATGCTTTTTTCCTTTTTTTTCTTGGTTTTGGCTTTATGGGCCTGAAAACAATCTTGACCGTAAAACCAACCATTACAATCAGGACAATACACGCTGGGCTTCACCCAGGTGGCGAAATTGGGGCAGCTGTGATTGGTACGGCAACATGAATCACAGTTCTGGCCCTCACAATTATGATGAGAATAATCCTCTGTGCTGTAGCCATGGTCGCAGTGACGGCAATAATAACTTCTGTTAAGAAGGGCTGGGATGCTGGTTAAGCCGTCATAATGCCCTTGGTACTTTACTAAACCAATCCAATGGGGTGCCTCATTGTATGTGGGGTCCTTAAACACAGTGAGACACCTAATTGGCTCTACTACGATGAGTTGGTACCCCTGTGGGCCTAGATGGTCTTGGAATGCTTGAAGTTCTTCGAATCCACAGGGGCCCTCTGGAACACCCGCTTCTTGATGTAACAGCCGAGCCAAACGTTCTTGAATGCGTTTTCCTTTTCTCAGATTTTGGTATTGGGAGCCACCGTCACAACGCTCCTTCATAGTCACGATGGCGCGGCTTAGGCAAAGATCGTCGTTGTTTTTAATTTGAACGACGCATCGTTTTGTTTTTGCCATCTTTTCCCAGGCCATTTTTCCAGGGTTTTTCTTTGCAGGTCGACTTCCCTGTCCAAAAGTCTTGACAAAAGTCAGTTCGACAAAAAAGCCATCTCTTTCGGGGTCAATCATTTGAGCAGAATTCAATTTTCTGGCTAGCTGTTCCAAATAAGCTCTGGCATATTCCTGATTGTTTAACCATTCATTCAAGGGTACGTTTCTGGCGGACTGGGCCCATATGTTGGTGATGGAATTGGAATGGATGGCAACAAGCAGGGAATATTGGGCAGGATTGATGTTTTCTGCCTGGACGACTTGCTGCAGTCCTTGGCGAATCGCTTCTGTTAAAGCTTCGCCGAGTGGTTCGTTTTCTTCTGGGGCTCGAAGTTGAAGAAATGTTAGGCGAAACTTCTTTTGATGCACTATTCCGCGAAACGAGCGGTTTCTGCCTGCTTGGGTAAAGATGGCCCGAAAGATAGGGTTCCCACCCTGTTGCTCGTAGCGGCGAGAGGCGGCTAAGAATAATTCATTGTCCTGGGAGTCCATTAAATCTATAAAAAATAGAAACGAGAGTTATTTTCGCTTACTTCCGGTTCATTTCACTAACTTCCGGTTGTTTTTAGGTCGTCGGGATCATTCGACTCCCTTCGGGTTCTTTCCGAGGTCTTAGGGTACCTTCGACCATATTCGGCTATGTTCGTTACCTTCGGCTGCCTTCGGGTTCATTCCGAGGTCTTAGGGTACTTTCGGTTGCCTTCGGCTATGTTCGTTACCTTTGGCTGCCTTTGGGTTCATTCCGAAGTCTTAGGGTACCTTCGGTTGCCTTCGGCTGTGTCCGCTACCTTCGACTCCTTTGGGGTTATTTATTTATTTAGTTTACTCTAGAATAAAAGACCCGCCACTCGTAACACCTTTCAAAACCCTCCTTAGTCTTATCTTTAATGTCACTGTCCACCATTTCATCATTGCCTTCGTTCAGTATCGCTAAATAAAAGAATTCCAATACTTATTGTAATAGCCTCGACCTTTCTTTTAAATCAACGTCTCTACTTTTTTTCTTTTTTTCGTTAAGAGCGATTACTTACCTTGGATTTGACTATCTATGGCTTGATTATCGTTTTCCATTCTGTCTTCAATAAGCTCGCTTCTGACACACACTCGGCAATTGATGTGGCTGAATGAAGTCTAATCACTTTCTTGGCACAAATATATGCGGGCAAGGTTTCGACCTTTGCGCTGAATTTGCATGCAAACTCGCCCTAGCGTATTCCATTGACGTCAATCGAAGTAGATTTCGCTGAGCTAGGCTGATTGTATGACGAAATTTGTTTTCCCTAAAGACTTGGTGAAACATGCAACGTTGCACGTTTCTTTTTTTCCCACGTTTTAAGCCATGTGTGTCCTTTCAACTCACGTTTATTTCAACTTGGGACCTTTTGCTTTTGCTTCCAGGGATAAAGCGGCCATCTTGGTATTGTTTCGTTCATTAACTCGCCATCTTGTTTGACTGAATGAAAGACTGCACGTTTTGGTTGTACATTTGAACATTTCTTTCTCTAACGCTTTCATGTTTGTTTTTCGCTTCCAATTTAAGTTTTCTGTTTATATTTTTCCATGCATGGTTTCGGTTTTAAGGGATTAAGTGAAAATCTTGCCTTCTATTAAGTGATTAAGTGACCATCTTGTTTTCCATTCAGGGGATTAAGCGTCATCTTGGTATTGTTTAGGTAATTAACCCGCGAACTGAACGCATGTTGGACTGCACGTTTTTTTCCTAGCTCCCTTTTGCTTTTTGTTTTTGTTTTTGTTTTTATTTTCTCTGTTTTCTCGCTTTACAAGACAACATTTAAGTTCATGTTGTTTTCGCACTTTTTCCTGCTTTCCCCAACAACAATTATTTTCATACTGTTTACCCTTTTCCCAAGTCAATCACTTTTCACTGTTCTTTTTACAATTCTTTTATTCCTACATTACTCCATTACAACACTGTTCTCGTTCTCGTCACTGATTTTGTGCTAAATCTTCCTCGGTGATATTGGGAACAATAAGAACCCGGCAAACTTAACATTTCTGTAGACTTGTTCGAAATTGTATAATGCTCTGACAGGATTAAATTCGCGATAATTCACAAAATTTATGAAATCGTCTATTAATAATCTTAAAGTTCCCAAACGAATATTGCAATGGCAGTCAACGTTGTTAAAGACCCAGTCTGTGTAGGGGCACATGGGAAGACGTCTAAGATCACGCAGCGTTTGTCTACAAGAAGAAAACACAACATCCTTACTTAACATAGATTCAAACATCGCAAACTAGCTTGTTTTAGTGTACTTCTATACGACCTTTGATTCTAAAAGAGCTACCGCGTGGTTCGGAAACACAAAAACTAATTCAACTTGAATTTTTTCATGACCTACCGGAATTTCTTTTCGTGTTCTTTTTTACTCTCATGTCTCGCCTCTTCAAATTCACGTGCTTCGAGCTGGATTCGCACACTGTGGCAAGGTGGTAGGTTTTCCCGGGCGGCTTCACCTGGATTGTTTACCACCAACAATGCTAACTGCTGCAATGATTTAACTTGTTGTTGTTTCTGTTGTTTCTGGCTTTGGTAGTGAAATGAGTGGGCGAAAAGACATTTTGATCGTAAAACTATTAAAAACCTTTGAACGTAGAACTGTTTAACACTTCGGCTAACAAGCGTCAAGCGAATTGATGCTTATTATATGCTCGTTTTACTTTTCTGCACCCTTGCTTCACTATTTCATTGGTTCTTTTGGCTTCCCCAGCGACTTTGTTAGTCTGGATTGGTTTGGACTATTCCCTAGCGTCTTTGACCCACCCGTGCATTTGCATAGAGCACATGGCAAGACTTGCTCTGCTGTTCTGTTTTTGCTAACGAAGCAATGAAATACAAAGACTTAGTAGACCCAAAAACAAGCCTTTCGAGGTGCAACCTTCAGCAAACACTTCGATCGCTGGGTTAAGCGAAATTATGCATCGATTTTAGCGTCGCTCTCTATACATTTTAAAGTCATAACTTCTTTCATTGGTTCTGCTCGTCTCCGTGAAGTCTTTCACCCTACATTTCATAGAGCACATGTTACGCTACTACATTTCGCAATCTTACTGTAAGCACGTTTTTTACTGAAATCACATTTCTACCCTTTTACGCGTTTGGTTTTATTTTCTTTTAATATTTTATTTACCCGCTTTCTTAACTACGTGACTTTTTTTCGTTTAGCAAGGACCGTTTTGCCAGCGCTGAATATTGTTTTCGCCTGGAAAACCCTTGGCCAATTCAATTTTTCCCTTATTAATCCTTCCATTGTCTAAGGGATTAGTCGGCCATCTTTTTTGACGTCAATGACTATTACACAACGTTTTTGCCTGCACGCAAACAATCTCAGCATGCAAGTTTAAATAAACGAAGAGACATATAATCGTTTTTTATTTTACACCAAATGTTCCAACAGTGGATGTTTTTTTTTTTTTCCACTTCTAATTGTCAGCAAGAAAGGAAACACACACGGCTCTTTGAGACTTCACCTCATGACTAATTTTCTTGACTGGTTTTTAAATATTTAATTACCTTTGACCTATTTCACTTTAGATCCTTGAATCTTTCACCTGGAAAGCGAACGCTCTCCTGTTTAGCTGAAAACCCTTCGACAACTTCATACAAATGATTTGCTATAATTATTTTCCCTTTTCCTAAACGTTTTAGAACGTTTTTTCTTCAAATTCATGACTGCGCCTGCGTTCTACTTTGCGTCTGCGCCCTGAGTAGGGACTCTTATCTCTCCCACATGTCTGACTTGACTTCTTCGTTTACACATATAAGTTCACGTTTGACTATTGTATAATAACAACTCAAATGTCCTTCCTTTATGCTTTATGATGTCATCCCTTCCGATGATTTCCGACGCTTGCCGAGTACCTCCGATAATACCCGACGCCTTCCGACCATGACTCGAGCCTCGTTTTAAGATATTTCCGATTTCCTTTCGATTACCCCTCTCCACCAATCAGAAGGCTGCTAGAACAATGGTGACCCAAGTGCCCCCCAATGCTGCTATCATTGACCGGTCTGTGGTGGAGATGCAAGCGATAAAGATAGTCACGCGTCACAACTAACTGCGAACAATTATGAACCTAGCGGTAATCGCTTGTTATCTACAACGTTTAAGGATATCTTACGGAAGGACACTGCTGTAAATTTCCTCAAGGGAAAGGAATTCTACGAGAATTCAAGGCAATCTTACTGGATTTAAAAAAAAAATAAAACTTTTCAGTTGTTTGTGTTCTATTTATAAATCGTTTTAAGTTAACCGGGTTACCAGTAATTGGTTAATTAAATTACCTTGACAGCTTCGTTGTCCCCAGACTTTACAAAAGAGTCAGCAGTCTCTTATTTTTTCTTCTTGGGCTTACGCCGCCCTCGTTTATCGCGGCTCGCGTGCTTGGTTTTCTCTTGCAGTAACTTTGCAAAGAAAATTAAGAGACTGCTCGCAGTCTTGGCGGTTGAGGCATGGCGGTACACAATGTACACCTCATATTACTCTTCCACAAGAAGAGCTGTTTGAACTTTGGGGACAACATAACTTTACATACATTTAATAATAAAAAAATATAATATAATATTTAATTTAAAAAAAACAACAGGAAAATATTTCAATAGAGGAAATAGACAATGAAAGGAAATATGTAAAACCCTTATAAATTCGTCGGGTCCTTTTATGGCTGTTTAAAATGTAATACACGACGGTGTCTTTGACCTACTTTTATCAGTAAGACTCGTTATTCTAAGGTCGTCGCACTGATAAGCAAATTATGATTACAGAGACAGTTATTTTAAATTATTGAGCTGGTTACTATCGTATTTTACTCACTTTTTTATTTCAATGGTTGCATAAAAAATGAACAAGAAGGAAAAAACAACAAGACTCGTATTGATAACAACATAATGTGCTATTCGACTTACTTTTTAAAGAAAATAACTAACACGCATTCTAGACTAAAAGTTACACGATCTCCCTTTCTTCACAAAACGAAGATAGGCTTCTTTAACTAAACATTCACTGAAATTATCAGTAGACGTTAAATTTACCGATAAAATACTTAGTAATACTTGGATGTGGCAACGTATGATAAGAAGATTCATGCAGATCAAGGAGGGAGAGTTCAGCGTCGGCGTAAAGTAGCCTGCTACATCCGCATATTTCTTCAGTTAATATCGTACGAGGGCCAAATCTAATTTGCCTCTTCCACGGCTTTTCTCTGCCAAAACAGCTGAACTACTGCGCCTTCTGCTGTTCCTTGTTCCTTTAATACCTCTGCAATTGACTTCCGGAGATATTTGAGCCAATCTAAAGCGGCGTTGCCAATTATTCTACAATATATGGTCGCTTCTGCATGTCTTTAAAGACTCTGTGACGTTTGGACCAGGACATCATAGGATCGAGCCACGTAAGCACAAATGCAAGGCTTTTTTTTACAGTTTTTGAATAAAATGTATTTTGTAACGTATAAAGGAGTAGCGATATCAGTTAACAGTACGCTATTAAGGCAACTAAGATGGCGGTTATTTCCATTGACGTCATATCTTATAATGTACATGAACAGCTTATATCAGGCTATTCATGTTTCCCGAATTTTTTTAAATACCTTGTAGCCAGAAACATCTAGTAACTGAGTTTTACTACGTAAACTACCACCCCTTGTACAGCAATGGCCGAAAATATCCGTAACATGAGAGTATTAATCTACCACAAATCGTTAGAGGTTTACATGCAGCCTTTAGAGAAAGAAAGACTTAAATTTACAAACAGACAACACATATGTCAATACATATATTAAGCAGAAAACTTGGGAAGTATTCTTCCACTTCCTCAAAACTTTACGAGCCAAGTAAACGATCATTCGGTATCGAATTCAGACGTTCAAGTCCTCGACTTTTGCGTACAACTGATTGTCATAAATGTGCATGTTGATCAGCTTCTGTGGATAAAATAACATTCAATTAAATTTTCTACCTTGAACCCTGTTAACCAAAACAGGTGACCATTTTCCATGCACGTACCATGTATGGTCTTTATATATTATAACGGGATCCCCTTTTGCTTAAAAAGGCTATAGGCTCGTTAATAGTACTATTCTTTATATCACCATGCAGCTTAGTATCATCAGAATTCTTTGGTCACTTCTAAAGGAAAATCAAAGAATTCACCAGACTAATTAATCAAATCAATCCTTCAGATCACAAAGGTATTTCACCATACAACAAGTAGTACACCTCCGGTTGAGGCGCGTTGCTCAAAAAGGCCCTTGCTTAAGCCGATATATGTGAGTTAAAAAAAAAAAATGGGAAATGGCCAAAGGCATGGGAAAAGATAAAGGAGAACCAAAAATATTACAATGGAAAACGTTTCTGGACGTATATTGTAAGGCATTAAATTTCCAGTTTTGGAAAGTATAAAGGTACGTAGCTGGAAAAATATGAATGATGTATTTGTCATGTTTTTTTTTCCTTTTGTTTCATAACCATTCGTAGGAATACCCAAAAACAAAAGGACATGACATTTAAACTAAGAATAAATTTAATCAGGACATATATAGACTGTAAATGAGAAATCGAAGAAAAAAAATAGAACCCCTTGGCTAACAAAACTCTACCCTAGTTATAGTGTACCTTAGAGGAAATGGTAAGCCTTATAGCCGAGAAATTGTTGTCATTGCTGATGTCGCTGAAATACTTTTTTTTGTCACGAGGTACTCACAAACCCACCTTATGCTGGTTTTCCATGTCCCTTAACTGTTTGGTCAAAGCGGTGAATGATGGTCTCGCTTTTGGCTCATTTTGCCAACAGTTCGTCATGATTTGATACCTGAGAGCAGAGAATAAAATCGTCTCATCTCGACTTGTCTTTTCTCCCAAATTTTCTGTTTTAAGAGGTCAAAGACCCTTTTAATCTCACAACTGATCATGACCTTTGGTAATATCTATTATTACTACTAAAATATAACACAACTACAAATAGGATACAATTACAAACTGTGATTAAGTAAAATAGATACTATTACAATTTGTCATCCACGTGCTGTGGCTTTGGCATCCGGTATCCTTGTTGAAGTAGGCCAGCAATTTTCTTGCCATCCATTCGCGGATAAGGAGAACCACCTGAAAATATAGGAATTCAAACAAACTACGTCTACTGAACCTATTGAGAGAGAAACTTCCACGATGAAGGCCATTATCGTTAATCAAGAAAAAAACAACAACTTACCTACAGTAAAAATCTCGTAAAGAACAACGCCATAGCTCCAACTGCAAATAAAGTGGAAGCGTTGATTTGTAAAATAAACAAAGCAAGAACTACTAAATAATATTCAACATCATAAACTGTATTTCCAGACAATTTCTATTCTATTAACTCACACGTCACTCTTGGTGGTATAAGTGTTAAACATCAACGCTTCATATGCAGTCCACTTGACTGGCAGACGTCCCTGACGGTAAACAATGAGACGCAAAACGAGTAAAAAAGACATCTTTAAAATTATTTTTGAGATTCACTTTTTTAAGTAAAATAAAAGTTTCAGGCGCCTTATCTAGAAGGCAACCTACTTTCGTAGGGAAGTGCTTTAAATAGAATGGTTACAGTACTAATTATTAGGCAAAACAAGTATGACAAAGTAGGTTTTAGAATGCAAGGGTAGTTCAAAATGCCAGAAATCTGTGTGACTGCGCTGATGTGAGACATGGAAGATGTATAATACAATGTAAAACCTTGTTTTTAGATTCCCTTTATCTTAGAATTAGTTATTCTTATTAGTTCCTAACTCAGATACCCTTGTCTTTCTTTCATAAATGTTTTCCTGTTGGACATTCCTGGCCATTCCAAAGTCAGTCACTTTGCATGTTTCTCTTTTCCCAACCAACACGTTGCGAGCTGCTAGATCTCGGTGAATGATCTGTAAGAAATAGTTAACCAATCAATGAAATTGGTACCAGCGGCATCTAATTGAATTCAGGGCAAAATTCACCCATTTGGACCCATCTTCTCAACCACTGGCATATTAATTCCTCAGTAATTAATTAATTCATTTATTAAATGAATACACGCGCCTATGTTTCAATTAGTATAGTTGGCATGGCTTACTGCTTATTTTGTACAGGAATCTTAATAACTCAATGTCGATGAAGTTTTTCATAGTATCTCCTAGTCTTCCACAATTCATATCTAAACGCACTCAGATCCTTTGACTTACAGATCTTGATGACAAGTAACTCATTCCATCAGCAATTTGCCAAGCAAACTTCATCAGTTGCTCTGAGGTCAGATTTGTTCGAGGCCTGATATCCGGGTCTTTGAAATAAGTGTCATTGAGTCCTCGGCTCTTTCTCAGGTAGCCCAAGAGATCTCCATACGGGAAATACTCGATCAAAACCAATAACGGCTCTAGAAAATAAGTCAAGTAACTTTTACACTATATGGGGTTTTCTGTAATACCAGCAATAATTTAGAAACTGAAACTTATTGTTGAAATAGTTTTACATTAACTGTTAACTTGAGATGTCTTGAGATGTACGTTCAAATACGTTCATCATTAATCATATGTTTTACCAGTTTCAGTAACACATCCCAGTAGTCGTATGACGTGTGGATGAGGTTTCAGCGTCTTCATTACTTCGAGTTCAGATAACAGATCGCTTCTGTCGGACTCAGAAGCAGAAGCTAAAAATAAACGAAAAAATATAAGAGATACAAGCGTTGCCATTCATTGAGATGACTACTGCCCCATATTTCATAAGTTTTTTAATAATGTCCCAACTTTTATAATTTTCCTTTGTTACTTATTGTCTCTCGCTACTAATTAATGCCTTATTTAAAAACGTTAGAATTTTTACCTACACATGAATCGTGATACAAACACACATTTATTATTAGCATTAATTTTATTCAGCTACAAAAGCTAGGTGTGGATTACCTTTAAGCATTTTAACAGCAACTGGAGTGTTCCCTGGACTCCCCCAAAGATCTATCGCGGTTCCTTTGGCAACCTGGCCAAAGGCACCTTTACCGATAACCTTTTCTATGGTGATACTGTTTCGTGGAATTTCCCAAGAGCGTGTTGACGGATGAAGAGGCGCATAATCAGTTCCTAGGGATGGACGTTCCACCTGTGGGGTACCGAGTGTCACCTCCTCTTTTCGCTTGCTTTCAAATGCAGTTACCTCTTTTAGGTCCATGTATTCAGTCTTACTTTGACGAGAATGAGATGGTTGAACCTCATGCATTGCTATCTCATTCTGAGAGTAGTAAAACAGTATCATCAATCATTGTTCTAATACAAGTCGAATCCAAGGACAAATGAAGAATATTACGCGCCTGTCAATTACTTTTTGACATGTTTTTGATGCTAGGTAACTTGTTGTTTTTATTTACAACAATCCCCTATGGCAATACAATACACGAAACGTAACTCGAACTTCAATTTCCTCTTATAATTATTTGACTGGACGACAAAACAGATTAAAAAATAAACTACTTACGTCATAAGCCTCTGTATCGTCGCGTGGCAACGCATATGGTCTGAAAATACGAAATGAAGAAGGAAAACTAACATAAAACAGATAAACATTTACTCACTACTATTTGATCGATCTTCTAATTCAAGAGTAATTAATTCAAAATGAATAATATGGCTGAGACAATTCGTAGGTCATTTTCTATGCAACTGCTCTTACTCTTTAAGTGTATATGACACTGACACGAAGATGAACTTCCTTTTAGTTCTAGTTTCTTGTTCGTTGTTTTCCGAAAGAACAGGTCACAACTTTTTGTTGTGAATAATTAATGTAATGGTCCGCCTAGCTAGCTATGCTGAGGGATTTTGGCTAAAAACTAAAACACTAAACCATTTTGTTGTTCTAGCACATTTAACTTAGACGCTTAAAAGACTCCAAGGCCCGGTTGCTCGAAAGTTTTATCCAAGATTAAGCCAAATTTTAGGCACTGTTATTTTTTTCTAAGAACATGTAACTTAAATGAAAAGCTAACAAATTACTGCGGTGCCTTTACTCTGAGACACAGTCATGATAACACAAAATGTTACTCTACGCAATGAATACCAAGGTAAATACAAAAAGTTGAACAAAATTTTTATCTTGGATTAGTCGTGCTAGTGCTTAGTGCTAGTGCTTAGTCGTGCTTGGATTAGTCGTGCTTAGTCAAGAACCGGGACACGAAAACAACTGCACCTGCTTAAACTTTACATGTAAAACAAAAAAAAAACAACATTCATACCTTTTCTGTCCTCTCGATCCTATCAAAGAGGACAAAAACGTTTTAATATTCTATCAATAAATTAATTAATTTATTTGGTCTATTTATTTTCTTACTTACTGTCTTGTGTGCCCTAGATGTTAGAAAAGGCATTACCTGGATCGTTTGCTATCTACCATTCTGATCAGTCTTTCCCCTTAATAAGTTTATTTTTGAGATCATTTGTGACCCTCCACAGGAATTTGATGCTAAAGGTGAAAGCACGCGCACGACACGCTTGCACAACACGCTTAGCGTGCCGTAGATCACGGATATGCGCATATTAAATTGCAAAAACAAAGACGGACACAATTGCCTTTGTTTTGGCAAATTTAACACGCTAGACCTTTTGTTTTTTTGTAGCGTGCCATATGTCACGGTAAGTGTGCGAATTATAGCACGGTTAGCGTGCAATTTGGGTAAGACACGCTGAACACGCTTGATTACTAAAACCGCTAAGATGATAAAAATGGCTTGGGTTTTCAGCGGATTTAATCAGCATTGATAACTGGTCAAAGTGAATCAAATATACCAATTGAGACTGTTTTGGAATTTGATAGTAACCGTGGCCATTTGAAAATCACGACTTAATGGTGGTCTAGCCTGGAATTAACGCGAGATCAGTGTAAACCAATTCCTCCGGCTGTCGGCTGTTGACCGGAATCGCAAAGAGGCCTGAAGTTATGTCGCCTGAAAATTATAGTTATGCCACCGGAATATTTATTAGCAGTAATGCACAGAGAAATGAAGTTGAATAAATTAGTTTCGTATATTTCCATGCTGAGACGAACGAAGGTAATTAAATCGGAGAAACAAAAACTGCCTAGAATTTTCTATAGGTTGAGGAAGGCTAAACATTTCTAGATGACCGTTCCATGCATGTACAATTTTCGAAGGTTATCTAATAAATTCCTTACGATTTTCTGAAGTTTAACTTTTTCCATTTCATTCCCCAGTTAAGCTATTTTTCGTAGAGAATTAAGGAATCCTGAAATTTTCGGAACCGAAAATACGATAAAATTCTCACTTTCCTAAAACTTTCAATTGGAAGCTAAACTTTTCGGGAAAATAATGCTGAAGCCCTTGTAATTTCGAAAAGACTGAAGTTGTCCTAGGATGCTAGGATGCATTTAGGAGGAAATCGCCGTCAGGTGCCCCTGACGAACGAAGCGCTATCAATCATAATTTATGTAAAGATATCTCGTTACGCTATGCTAAGACGAATCAAGCGCTGTAAACGTGTATTATATCTGGTTCTTCACCGGACGAAAAAAACAAGAATCTGTAAACTAAAAACATTGTAGAATGAGGGAGGATTGCGGGCGACTTTTCTTTGAATTTTGGGCGACAAAACTCATATTATCAGGTTTTGGACGACATAACTTCAAACGACATCACTTTCGAGTAGCTTGACCGTCACCCCTTTAGATCGAGCTCGATGAATTAATTCAATGACCGAACTTTATGGAACAAATGATTGCCTTCAAGAATTTCACGCGGACTACTTTTAATTTAGTTCTTTTTCTCTTTTCTCAGTGTGTGACTGACAGAGATTTAATTCTCGGATCGAGCTTTAGTACTCTAAACACGCCGTATTATCGTGGCAAAAACAAAGAATCAAACAAAAAAGCACCATACAATTTCGGAATTCTGTTTAAAAAAAAAACATTTTTTGCTTACTATTCAAAAAGCGGTGAAACAGCCATTAATTAACTGATGTTTCGCTTTTTGTGTTATTGTCGGCCGGATCAATTAAGCAACGTTGGAAACGTTTTGGAATTTTAGTACATCTAGAAAAGCAGGCTGGTTTTTATTTGATCACTACGATCCTTGCAATCGCTAAAAAATAAATAGAATTTAGTGATCCTGGCACTTGATGATTTCTATTGTATTTGATCGCGATTGCTGCGATCGGCAAGAAAGTGTCTTAAGTCCGAAAGATCACTGTTTCTGAGAAAATTGCAAATGTGTTTTAAATTAAGGAAAGTTAAGATAACCTTTGCACAGCTTCGTCAGCAAAAATTTCTGGAAAGAACTTTGATTTTGTAATGCTAATATAGTTCTACCCATAAATCCAGTAGGTCACACCGTTCACGGTTTATACTTTTCAAGCGACAACGTTTTTTCAATCAGATACTATCGCTGCGATCGCCAAGGTATAACTTTTTCTTTCTCGATAGTTACCAAAAAAGGGCGCCGTTCATAATCATTTACGGTTCCTTTTTGTAGAGGAAATTTATTTAGCTTATAGATAACACGCCTTGCGTGCTTTTGCGCACACTGAAAGCGTGTTGTGCTTTTTCGCCCGGAGCTTTTGTTTGAAAACTTTAACACGCTCTTTTGTTCGACTTGCTCACGCTTAATTGTCTCAAGCGTGTCCTCTGAAACAAAAGAAATTGCTAATGAGGCAAGATTGCAAGCGTGCTAAAGCGTGTTAAAATAAATTCTTTTGTTTTAAAGTGAAAGCGTGTCGTGCGCGTGCTTTCACCTTTAGCATTAAAGTCCTGTGGAGGGTCACATTTTGTGGCACATAAAATGGTTTGTTGATGCTGCATTAATAGAAAACGGACAGCCTATAGTAAAGTTCCACAATCGTCAAAACAAGGTGCGAGTGAAAAAAAAAGTTCTTCATTACCTCTCTTTTGCTGCCAAATTATCACGACTACAAGAAGGATATTAATGAAAATGAGAACTCCAGTAACTGCTTTCCAAATGACCTCATTACACTGGCAGCGTTCAGTATCTGTGAACAGAACCATGAATGAAAAGCTAAAACTAAACCAACTAGTGTATATTGGAGCGGAAGGTCATTGTCTCTGCTGTTTTAAGTATCAACAGCATTCAATTATACATCTTTTGTCTTTTAAAACAATTAAAAGCGCCTTTTGAAAAAGTTTACAGTCCTCGCATTTCAGGGCGCTAACGTCACAGGCCCCATGCATCTCAGAGAATACATGTTTTCAAGGATCTATGTCGGGATTTATCTCGCAAGACCTGGTCACCGACGTTGACGTTGACGTTGACGTTGTTTTTTATTCAATGCTTTATTCTCTAGAATTTGATCGACCAGTAAGTGGAAACATTGGCAATTATGATATCATTTGTTCTCTCTCCCAGACCTCGTCAATTTCTCTCTACGCGGACCAATCTATTCTAATGAGAGCTCGAGAGAAACGTTCATTATCTTAACACTACCAGGGACATCGTACAACGACAACTGTGACGACAATTAAAACGACATTGATAAGGTGTGTATGCTTTCTTTTAAAGTAAATACCGTTTATACCAACTTAGGCATCTTATTAAAATTGAGGAAGGACGTTCCTGAAATTGAATTCAGAATTCAAGTTCTGAATGAGACAGGAAAATTCCGTTCTGATTTTACTACGTACTCAATAAAAAATTGCGTCAGGAAATTTCACGTAGCCATGGAGTGTTGGAAAAGAAGTGAATAAATTTTTTTATTCACCTGCAGAGTAGATGTGTTTTTTTATTATTATTGTTAAACCTATTGCTTTCTTGACGTTCTTGTTGCCATCGATGTCGTGATTGCAAAGCTCTCTAATATGCATGTCATTTTTAACTGAGATCACCTTTCTGGCTCGAGTTACATACGGTACCTGTTGATCCCTCAGTTGATGCGGCTGTCGTAGGATTAACCGGTTGGATTATGTTTAAAGCTTCAACTGTGAAGTTACCAAGTCTTTTATTATTCACGGCGTCTCTCAGTTTAGCAAGCCCTTCATTTGCGGTGACAGGAGTTTTAAAGAGCACCTCGAAAGAGACTATCACACTGCCTTTACTGTGAAAAATATAGAAAAAAGAATAAGAAATGAGGAGTTCACGAGTGAGTGGATTAAAAGGACCAAGGTTCAAGCCAGTGTTTTACAGACCTTAGTTTGGTCACCTCTGTCCCGTGGTATTTTGCATCATCATCATACAGCTTGTCCAACTAAAATGGATCAAACAAAACACGCAGAAACAGGCTAACCATACTTCTGCCTGGTAACATACATTCAGTCAAGAATTGTACGGCCTTTGTAAATCATACAGTGAATACAATTTCAATATTTTAGTGATAAAGGCCCTTCGTTGCTAGTAATTCGTAGAAAAAAAGGAACAAAACAAAACAGTTAAAGATCAGATCAAAACAACTTCAGTTTCCAGAAGATCTTTAAAAACGTCGGAGAAATGTTTGATTTTCAGTCCTTGTTTCTCATGCACGTTTGAAACTGCCAGTCCCCTTAAAGGTCGAAGAGAGACACCTATTCATGAACAGTTTCAAACGTCCATATAACGTTCATGTTTTGGAGGCGATTTAGATATTAACTTTTTGCAGACATTGAGGAATGATGTAGGTTTAGAGGTTTTTTTGTAATTGCAGGGTCGCGCTTTTCAGCAACGCCCCAATAGTTCCAAATTTTGTGTCCAAGTTTACAGATATAATAGACGAAAGCGCTCTTTTTTTTAAAATAAGTGATTGGTCAAAACCTCTAGTTGTGTCATGACAGAAGCAGTTTCTATGATTTGAATTTACCAGCAACATATAATCGTTTAAATGAACAAATTGTGTCATTCCTGAAAGTAATGTAATTTTCCTTAATTTCAAAACGCACGCCTTTAGAATTCCGCTTTTGTCTTGATACACTACTGACAGTCAACTAAGTTTTCCCTTCTGATGTGGATATATGAAGTTTCCTTGTAGACGAGTCACGCACCAGTTTTTTAACTCACAAGAAGCAGAAGCAGAAGCAGAAGAACTAAACCAATCACAAAACGTGGGAAAGTGCATTGTGATTGGTTTATCCTTCCGCTTCTGCCTCCAACTCCCACAATCTGGTTCTCACTAGATCGTAAGCAACGGAGTCGTAAGCTGAGTCGGAAGAAAATGGAAACGTTCTGATTCTTCTGACTCCCATTACGTCTAGGATTTTTGATTTTCACTAGGTCATAAGTGCTCTTACGACTCCGCTTAAGAATCCGACTCCGGCGCCGGCTCCGTCGCTAGTGAGACCACCCCATAGGTAATGTAAACATACGAAAATATCTTTAAGTCCACTCAGTGGCAAAAAAAAAATTGCCAAAAAATAGAATTATGTTAACGTCGCAGTCCAGGCAATAGAAGGCCAAAATAAATTTTGATCAAAGGAGTTCTGTGACACAATTTTCTTAAGAAGGCTATTTTCTTAAAAACTACTGTTTGTTACAATTTGGATAACTTCTTTTAAAAAAACAGTGAGGGTTACTTATTAAAGGAAATGTGCAAATTCAACGTTTGCCTAAAAGTACTAAATTTCAATTTTTAGGATTTTTTTAATCACCTTCGTTGCCATGGCAACGATTGAAATCTTTTCTTAGCCTAGTGAATGTAATAAATTGATTACGTCTTTAACTTGAAAAGCTCTTACTTAAACTTTCCCCTAATGATGAGCAACACAGCAGCATGTTGATTACCTCAGCCACAAATTTGCTAATTAACTCTTGGGCAGGTTCACTGTTGAGATTCTCGTAATCTTGGAGATATTCAGCGTCCATTAACGTCACTTGGAGTGGAAAGTTAACGTCTAACAAATTACAATAGCAGTAAAACATGTCAAAGGACTACAAATCACAAACAGTAATAAAGCTCAAAGGAATTGGTCATGCAGGAATAAAGTCAACCACGACATTCACAAAGTTTCTCTTTCTTAGTTTGAACTTTGTCGACCACCAGCTGCTTTTCTCATACTCATTGCAAAGATAAGCTTTTGTGGTAGTGTGGCCAGGGTCTTATAAATGCCACCCGTAACTCAGTCACCGTCTGTTTGTATTCTAAATATTTTTCATGCTTCGTTTGCCCCCAAATTTTGCATAAACTAGGGAACAAGGACTCTATTTTCCCCAAAGCATTTGAAAAACATGCAGTATGAGGGAGGGGGGGTGGAAACAGAGTGTATTATAGGGGATTCCAAAGTAGTCATTAGAAACCGTCCTTGCTGCCTGCAGCTGCTTTGCCACCATTAAAGCCATAACACAGGGTACGTGAAATTACCGACTTTAGCAGTCGATAAGACGACGTGCTACTAAAGCTATGAGAGATCATAGCCACTCACAGTGACGTCAACGTGAACGTTCAAGTACGGTTTTCCCACTATAGCCTTGTTGTCGTTGTTGGTGGTGTTGTATAAAAAACTATAGTATCATTTACAATATAATACGCAAAACGGTTCTGTGTCGTAGTTCTCACCACAAAACTATCATATCCTAGCCTGCGTCACAGACATATTTCAACCTCGGTTAGTAACGTCTGCGAAGGAGAGGCGCTATCCTTGTTATGGGCCCCCAACGGGATCAACGAATTACCGGAAAAGCGTTTCGAATTTCCCTTCATCTCCTTTGGCAAATCGACAATAGCTTTTTTAACAGGCAAATCATGGCGCATACTCAAATCCTGGTACACAGATGGGGGCCCAGAACAAGGATTTCGGCGTTGTTTCGCAGACGGACTTAACGAGACTTTTATAATCTCGTCTGCGGCGCAGGCTATCATTTCTTAGCCTTTTTATAGATTGTTTTAACAGCCTCAGTCAAAGCCTTGTGAGGAGCTTACTCATGAAGCTATGTACTGTCTATACTGGAAGAACATTTTCTGATAGATTTTATCCCAAACCAATAGGACTCCAACAGTAACGGGCCTCAAACCGACACACTAGCCAAAACATTCGGACTTCAAAACCGAACACTAGTCTTCGACAAAAATTACAATTCACTAACAGGCGCGCTGTCATCAAAATCTATTCTCAATCGAAAAACTACTCAGTTTAAAATGTCACATGATCACGTGCTCCAAACGTGATGGCCTATATCAAGACCACAATATCACGCGTGACGAAGTTTAACATAAAAACTCCGTGACACATTCCCCTCTTGACCAGTCGAATCACCGGTCAACAAGTCTCCCAATATAATCAGCGTTCTGAGGGGAAACAGCCTTTGAATTTGCCTCCTCATAGTAACAGTTCTACCACTCTAACTGATAACCTTGACTACAGCTGATCTAACGCAATCGTCCGCACCATGGATCAATTGCTCTACTCGTACAAGTTTCCAATGACTACAGGGCAGATTGTCTTCGAAAACGGTAATAACGTCTTCCTTAGATACAGCAATAATGGATCTAGGCCTAGATTTCTGCCGATGCAGGTTCCTTAACTACCTAACATATTATCCGCTCCAGAGCCTTCAAAAGTGTTTTAGTAGCAATCCCAATCTTGGGAGACTTTCGATGACACTGTATGGTCAAGTGAGGCTTGCCAATTTCCTATCACCTCCGGCAGCGATAATATTCGCCTTCCATGCATTATGTGACTTGGTGTCAATGGTTCTTCGGGATCACCTGACGATACGTAAGTTAAGGATCTAGAGTTAAGAGGTCCCTCAACCTTGACTAGAACAGTGTGCAATTCGTCATACTTTAACCTAGCATTTCTAAGTGTCTTCCGCAAACATCTCTTTGTGTTCTGAATAAAACGCTAAAAAAAGCCACCCACCAGGGCGCTCTAACCACATGAAATCTCCAATCAATTCTTTTACTGGCCAGGAATTTCCTGACTCTTGGGTAAGAAAATAACTTGCTCAGAATTTTTTCTGCAGCCTTAAAAGTTTTGGCATTGTCCGAGATAATCAGCTCCGGTAAGCCTCTTCTAGCTGTAAATCTCCTCAGGCAACGAACATCAACTGACAGCTCTGTAGCAAGCTCCGAATGTACTGCTTTTACAGAACAGCAGGTGAACAGGAGAACATAGACCTCCTGTAACTCTGTCTGTCCTGACACCTTAATGTAAAAAGGTCCAGCATAATCTACCCCGATGTAAGTAAAGGCAGGTTTCTGGCTCAATGTAAACTCGGGTAGGTCACTTTGAGGAGGCACTCTGTAACTCTCCCATTCATATCTGCGAGAAACTGTACAGCACCCTTTAATGAGCATCTCTCACCAACAGAGTTGAAAGATATTGATTCTTTGGCAGTAAGGCTGGGAACGTTGTCTCATGTGGTACATCAGCATTAGCAATTCTCCTCTTACATCTTAGGACTCCATTACTGTCTCCGCACGAACCAAAGTCTCGCTATAGTTGACGGTAATTTGCGTGGGACTTCAATTCTTTCTTGACACTTCTCAACCACCTCACTTCTGCATCTCTAATTTCGTCTGCAGTCACCTCTCCCAAGTAAACAGTTCCTTCTTTTAGCAACTTAGCCTTGATTTTAAGAATTTTCACAAAGTGCAACACCAAGGCTGTAATACGAAACAACTTGTCACAAGAGTTAAAATCTGTAATCAGAATAATAGTGTCCATACTGGGCATCCCATTTGTACTTAACAGTACTGATTTACCAACTGCTTCGATAGCTTGGCCTTTATTCATCTCTACACAACACTCCTCAGCAATTGTTTCGGAAGATTCTTCAGAACTAGGCTAGTTTTGCATGGGCTCTGACAGCCACGATGGTCCTTTCCACTACAACACATTACTCTTTAACTCAGCGGCACCTTCTCCACGAGATCCTATGTCTGCTGGGTTCTCAACAAAAGGACAATGGTTTAACATTCTCTCTTCAGTTAAAGACAAGATCTCGTTTACAAGATTTTGCACAAACTGTTTCCACTACTTCGGACCCTTTATCCAGCAGATTGCCGTCTTGCTTTCCAGCCACAAGTGTGTCTTATCAGTTGTAATCTGTGACGCTAAGGCTTCTTTAACTGGGACACCACTCTTGCTAAGATGACCCCGGACAGCAATTCGAGTCTAGGAATAGACTGCCTCGTCAGAGGTGCCACTCTGGTTTTGGATGACAACAAAACTGGAAACAAATCACCACTCTCTTCAAGAACCAAGTAAACAACAGCACAACAAGCCTTCTCTGAAGCGTCCCCAAACCCATGCATAACATACGGCGTAACACCTTCCTCTAATTTAGCCTCCCCGCAGACGTCCTTTGCGGTTCGCTTGTCACGCATTCATTTCTCCCCCACGGACGTCTGCTAAACACAGCCGACATTTACGTTCTGGATTGTTTGAATAAGCCAATAAGCGGTTAGTTATTGTGTCACGATTAGCCAATCACGCGCTGTGAAATAAGTGATGTCTTTGTATTCTCAAGTGAATTATTTATTTGCACCGCTATCTTCTACCTGAGACGACTCAAACGTTTTGAAAAAATCACAGAAACGATGCAATAAAGCTGCAGTCAGCTGTATACTTTTTGCGGAAGTTGTGACTATAAAATAATCTGCTTTTCTTTGAAACACTTCAGACAACAGTCTCCCACACGAGCGCGGTGCGGTTTTCAGCGAGGTCGAAAACAATAATTACTATTAACTCTGTATATATTCGAAGTATTAAGAAAAGAGAACTTGTAAACGTGTATAGGGAAGATATTCAAAGCATTCTTCGAAAACAAAGGCCGTTTCCCTTTTTTGGAAATGTAATTCCACCAAGGTCATGGGTCGCGGACCAAGGACCAGTACGCAAAATTTGGTTATATTTTTCAAGAGTCGATAAAACAAAGTCTACAGTAAGTCTGCAGCAATGTGCTTCCAACGGCAGAAAAAGATTTATCTGAAAACTGTTCTACAAAAAGGCACGTCCTCCCGTTGCGTTTTATTTATTTACAAGCCAAGTAAACATGACTACGGTGCCGCCGAAGTCCAAACGTCAAGCTAGAACGACAAATTAACCTACCTGTCAACAAACTTTAATCTCGCTCCTTCGAAAAAAGAAAGAATGCTTATAATCAATAAATCATGGAACCTTTCACTGTTCATTGTATTTTATTTCTCGACGAAATATTTAATCATGCTCGGGAAAGTCGCCGACCAAGGACCACATACTAACTGTACAAGTCACTCGCTAACATTTCCCACACCGATCGACCGCAAACAACAGAGAAAGTCCCTCTCTCGACAAGCCTCATATTCTCTTTGCTAATACCACTGAGCGTTACAGCAGGAATACCAATATTTTCCAGCTTTGTAGATTGATCTTTCAAGATTTACCAGGGGAGAAAAAACAACAACAATAATGTCCAGTAGTTCCACGCACTGTGTCGCAAACAAGCAGCAAAGCTTGATAGATAAGGGATTTGCCAAATCCCGTCGACAACTTTATGAACTCATCGGTCTTCGCTATAAAATTTGCAGGATAGCTTCTCTCTGATACTTGTTTAACTCTGTATTAATTACAAATTTCTCGCACACTCGATCAAAAGCCTCACTGATCGTGCGAATCTTAAGGAGCGGCTCGGGTTACGTTTTAAAAAAATCCGTAAACGGCCTTTGATTGGTGAACGTAAATGTCGGCTGTGTTTAGCGGACGTCCGTGGGGGAGAAATGAATGCGTGACAAACGAACCCCAAAGGACGTCTGCGGGGAGGCTACCTCTAATTCAGCATACACACACCTTGGTACTAACACTTGCTGCACCTCTATCAAGTCCTGAAGCCACCTATCCCACTGCTTCTGGGCAGACGCCGCGAGTGGCCCATCCCATTCAAAATTTTCATTTCCATCAGTATTGGACTGAGAATTCCAAGGAGGTCAAAAAAACTTGAAG